GATTGATATGAGAAAGAAGCATGCTACCGTTCTTCAAGGAGACCCATGTGCATTTCCTTTGTTTGTGCTCGCTACGCTCTTGTGCCTTTTTTAAGAAAAGAATATTAAAATATGTTATTTATTTTTACTTAAATATATTTAAGAGTATTTATTAAGAAACTCTTAAATTAGAAAAAAAAAGTAAAAATGTTTAAGGGAGCGTCCCTTGCTTGTTAGCAAAAATATGGGACTCGAAACCACAAAACATTATCCTCCTTGAATTCGCTTTACCTTTAGGTCATATTTCACTAATAATGTGTCAGGGGTGTTCAAAATATATATACATATAATATTTTTTTAATAATTCTTTAATTTTGACTTTCCAAATTGAATTTTTTAAACCAAAAAAATTAAAAGACAATTTTGTTACTTTTGACATATTTTTAATTTAAGACGATAAGATTCATAAGTCTTCTGTACTTTTTTATAACTTTATGTCAAATTAAAACAAAATAAACAAATTAAAATGGAAAAAAACAACATTGCCCAATATAGGCCCCAAATTCAAAGAAGGGAATTATTTCATTGGATGATAATTAATTAGGAAAGTTATGGAAACTCTTCATATCCCATCTTCTCTGCCCAGCCACTTCTTCTCCTTTCTTCTCCCTTAATTTTTTCTTCCCAGCCTCTTCATCTCATTTCGATCTTCTCCCCTAATTTTACTAGCTCAACTCTTCTTAATTTTTGAAGTACACAAGTAGACCCATTCTAAGAGTTCCCTATATCTGATATAGAGCTACTACAGATTCAATTTCAGAGGTTTGGAACTTTGCATGTTAGCTCAAAATCATCATCGATGTCTTCACTATCTCTATTGCTATGGTCAATTTGTTTAGCAACAGAATCACAACTGGCAGAAGACAAAAGATGTTGCAGTGTGTTACTCTTAGTCAGTTCCTTGATTTCCGAAGTGGGTTCTCTTGTGATTCAAGTTTTTAGGATTATCAACCAGAAGTACAAGCCATAGGGTTTTGGGTTTCAGCTAAAGGAGGTACAATTGTTAGTCCAAATGGCACTGATTTTAATTTTTTTTAGATCTTCGATATGGATGCAGTACTTTTTCCCATTGTAACTAATGTTATTATTTTTCTATTTACTTTTTCCATTCAAGTGAGGCCATTTCCTGATTTCCTTTTTAGTTCTAAGCATAAAGAATTTATATTCAAAATTTATTTTGATAAATAAAATTACTGGACATTTATGCCTTTTTGTGTGTGCAATTTTATTTATTCTAAAGTATTGATCGACATTATGTACTTTTGTGTGTAATTTTATTTTTAAAATATTAAGTGGATGAAAAGATAAATGTTAAATCCTAAAAAATAAAAAGTTGACCACGCACTTCTCCACTTCCTATGTTTCTGGGTGAATAAGCTCCTCTACTTCTTTCACTTCTTCAGGTTCACCCACCAAATAAAATTATAGAAAGCAGAGAAATGAAAAAAAAAGTCTTTTGGCGCTTGTTTTTTTGGCTCCAAAAGAATTTCAGGAAAACCACCATATATATGAGAAAATAGACGGAAAAGTTTCAATTACAATGTGAAGCAAAGTTTCTGAACCTGAACAAGACCATGTATGTATCAGTCTTATTTTACATTTGAACAAAATTAGACAGATAATTATATGTCGCAATCATATCTTGAAGGATTATTCATTGATTATTGTGAAACAACCATTGATCTTGCTCTATGTTT